GAGGACCGGGGTCCCGGGCGCCGGCCTGCGGGGCAGCGGGCTCCCGGTGAGGGCCGGACGCGGGGACGGGATGGGCGGGAGGGTTGCGGGGCGCCGGGCGGCTCCCCCATCCTCGGACGCGCTCGCAGAAGATGGTGCGGAGGCTTCCCGGGTCGCCGCTGCGCCCGTGTGCGCGCTTGCTTGTTTCATCGCGGGCCAGCGGCCGGGAAGGCGGCGGCGGCGGCGCGGGCCTCGGGCCTCTGGTCCTGCCCTCCCGGGGAGCCTGGCCTTCCGCAGCCGGCCTCACCCGCGGGTTTTCCCTCGTTTTCAGTGACATCCCGCTCTCTGGCTGGAGACGCAGATGGCCTCAAACGAGAGAGATGCTATATCGTGGTACCAAAAGAAGGTAATACCCGTCCTTTCTCTTTGGAAAGCGTTTCTCCCTGCCCAGGAAAAACCTCCCCCAAAGAAGATCACGTTACTTTCCCTCGGGTTTGGGAGTGCCAGATATTCTTAGGTGAGGGCTCCACAGAAGTGAAAAAATGAACGGGCCAAGGTCGTTACGACTTTGAAACCCACTTCGAGGCCCTAGAATGAGATTTTCAAGTTAGCTCCCTTCTCTAGGCTGCATAAACAGTGTCCCGGGAATGCTTTGAAAGTTTGCTTCTCATCAAGCTGCTTAAAAAAAAGATGGCATGAAAGCTTTATTTGCACAGTTCAGATTGGTGCTATCAACTCTCTTCCAGAGCTGCCCTTCCCCTTTTATTCTCTAGTTTCTCTTGTGGATGTTTTGTTTTCTCCCCACTTCTCAATGTTAAGATGTTTTTCCCAAGAGTCGAAATCTCTTTTAAGGTAATACCTAATTTGAAATATTTGGGACATTGCTTTTCAACGTTTAGGTCAAGCTGTTTTAGATTTTTGAAGGAAACAGCCCTTGGAAGTATTCATGTATTCCAACTCTGAGAAGCACAGACATTTTCCAGTATATTGGTACCTAGTTAGATTGATGACTTTTGTGAGGATTGACTTAAATATCAGGATTTCTTTTGCATCATTTACATAACCTGCTCCCCATTTCAGATTGGGGCGTACGATCAGCAGATATGGGAAAAGTCAGTTGAACAGACTCAGATTAAGGTAAATTGATTTCTTTGATTCTTTGTTTTCCTGCATGAATGTGAAGAGTGGATAATATTTACTCTTAAAAAACTGCACTCAAGGCAAGAGGTTTCTGGGTTTGTTCCGGTAATCTCGGTGTAAAAAAAAAAAAAAAAAAGAACAAAAAACTGCACTTATCTACCAAGTATGACGTTCTTTATTCTTTGAAATTTATAAGAAAAACAACTGAGCAAACATAGTAAGTGACACTTATCAGGGAAATAGAAAGGAGTGGCTGGTCTGTGATGGATTAGACATCAAGTGTCCCATATAAATGGGGCTAGGGCTACTTAGCTCTGGCCAGCTTTTACTACTTGGTAATGCAAGTTCAGAATTGTAAGAGTTTCAGATTTTTCCAGAGAACCTAGAAATATGCATTTTAATGTAAAATACTCAGATTTTTAAGTCTCCTCTACTTTCCCCTCCCCCTCGCTCTCTTCTTCCTCCTGTGCAAGCCAAATAAAATCCACTTGTGGCCTGAATCCGCCCTGTGGGCCCCCATGTTTTTCAGTCGTTCGTTTAGAGAATGGTCTTAAGTTTTTCAGGTTCATAAACTGTTTTCTACACTTTTCTTAGAACTGAGCAGTTTCTTAGGTTATTTCATGCTAACCAGAAGACCAAAACTGATAATATAATTCAGAATTCCAGTTTGTCAATTTATAATAGGGGAGGAGAAGGCTGAGTCGTGCGCTGAGATTCCAGAGTCCTGGCTGTGGGGTCGAGATGGATGTGAATGCAGAGGAGTCACAGAACGGCTGCTGGGTTGCCGCCTGTAACCGGGTAGTCTTGGTCGATGTGGAAAAGCCCAAAAAAGCCACCCCTGGCCTCAAAACAGTGCCTCTCTCTGCGGACTTTAATGCTTAGGTCCACAGATTCAGGGCCTAACCTCCTTGGAAAGTGCTGATAAATGATGGCAGATTGTTGTTTTTGGACTTTTTAAAAAATACTTGCTGTAGACCCTCTATTAATACTTTAAAAAAATGTAATTCCGGATACTCAGAAGGCTGAGGCGGAAGGATCGCCGGAGCTCTGCAGGTCGAGGCTGCGGTGGCCGGAAGCGGCCACTGCACTCCAGTCTGGGCGACAGAGTGAGACTCCAACTCAAAAAAAAAAAAAAAAAAGAATGGGTGAATACATCTCAGTAGTTTGTTAAATAGACCAGTCAACTAGAAAGGTATTTGAACTACATGGTACCTGGCTAGCTTTTCACAATTTTGTACAGTCCTTGATTATATGAATGCGATATAGGGTTAGGATGAATATACCCTTAGATTTTAATGTCAACTCTCTAAACCCCGTCCTATTATTCTTTCATATGCTGCTATCCAGTATTGATAGTAAGTATGCTATAATGGAAAGAAGGTAGAACTGGGAGTTAGCTTTGCGATCTTAAACCAAGTACTGTGGTCTGTCTGGGTTTTGGTTTCCTTATCCTAAAAAGGATTTTACCCACCTCCTCCCCCTAGTCAATTTTTTTTTTTTTTTTTTTTTTTTTTGAGTTGGAGTCTCACTCTGTCGCCCAGACTGGAGTGCAGTAGCTGCTCCCGGCCACCGCAACCTCGACCCGCTGGGCTCCGGCAATCCTTCCGCCTCAGCCTTCCAAGTAGCTGCAACTACAGGTGCGTGCTACCACGCCCAGCTAATTTTTGATTTATTGTAGAGATGAGGTCTCGCTAAGTTGCCCAGGCGGGTCTCGAACCCTCAGGCTCAGGCAATCCACTCACCTCAGCCTCCCAAAGCTCTGGGATTACAGGCTGAGCCATCCAGCCTAGCTCCCCTAGTCAATTTAAAGATTTCCTCAACTCTTTTTTTCATGCCATTTAATACACACCTTCCTTTTAGTGCACCATGTCAAAGATATTGTTAACCTCTGTATGTTCAAAGGCCTCAAGGGCAGGAATTGTGTGTGTATCCCACTCTTAGAACATCTTGATTCATACTAGGAGCTCAGTGTCTGTTGCTGTGTTTAATTGAATCCCATCCATTTTACATATTGTTACTCATTATTAAAACAACGATAAAAATTTACTGAGTTTTCAGTGGCAATAGTGGGGAGCTGAAAAAAAATTTACTGAGCTGATGTGCCACAAATGTACCAGTTGCTAAGAATACAGTAAGAAGATAGCCTGCTGGACTCCCAAAGATCCCACAAGGGAAGGTGCTATGTCCAAAAGGCCAAAGAATGACCCAGAGACAACAGACAAGACATGGGACTTTGTCTGAAAACTTACTTGCAGGGAAGGTGGTCCTGGAGCAGCCGGTTGGACAGGAAAAAACCACTCCCGATTATGAAAGGCACACTGGTTATATGGCACTTTACATAGGGCGGAGGCACGGTGTGAGAAGGCGCTTTTACCTGGGTCGCATGACACAAAATTGGCTGTAAATTTTCTCGAGGGGTGGGATTTTTAGTATTATAATGCACTAGAAGTAGCCAAAGGTTATAGGCATTGATCCAGGCATGCCCCATCTTGTCTGAACCTGTCTGGAGGGCTGATGGCCTCAAGGAAGGGTGCATGAGAACATTCACTGTGCACAACTGCAAGGTGTGGTCAGCAGACACGAGGACACTTTGCCTATGGCCTCAACATGACCTGTAGGCAGGAGCCTGAGGGGCAGGGGACATCCCAGGTTGGCCACCCCTAGGATCCCGCCCCAGGCTCCAGCCCTCTGCTTGGGGCCACATCCAGGGGTGCTCATGTCGTCACATCCAGGGGTGCTCATGTCGTCACTGAGTGTGTCACCCTATGCATGGTTTTTGCCTTTCTCTAAAAGCCATAGGAGGAAAGCCAAGATATCGTTTTAATATGTTTAGTTAGGTCTTTCTTAGATAGAAGTGGACCAAAGTATAGTATACAAACAGTATTTAAAAATAGATGAACACAAATACAACTTTTTCCCCTCTTTATGTCAGTAGCCTTGGGGTTTACAAATAGTTTTTGGTTACCTGGATGCATACTGGTGAAAAGTCTGAGCTTTAAGTGTACCTGCCATACTCACCTGTGCATATTGTACCCAGTAGGTGATTTTTTTCTCTCTCCCTCCTTCCCACTCTCCCCCTTCTGAGCAAATATTTTTGTAAACAAATAACAAAAGGAAAAAAATAAAATAACTTATTTATTTTTTGAGTTGGAGTCTCACTCTGTCACCCACGCTGGCGTGTAGTGTGGCATACTCACGGCTACCGCAGCCTCGACCTGCTGGACTCAGGTAATTCTTCCACCTCAGCCTTCCAAATAGCTGGAACTACAGGCGTGTGCCACCATACCCGGCTAATTTTTTGATTTATTGTAGGTCTCACCAAGTTTCCCAGGCTGATCTCGGACCTGTGGGCTTAGGCAATCCTCTCACCTCGGCCTCCCAAAGTGCTGGGATTATAGGTATGAGCCACCACTCCTGGCCAAAATAAAATAAAATAAAATAAAATTTAAAAATATTAAAATCAGATTATTGTACTGTTCTATAATTAAAATTACATGTGTAGAAGCATAGTTCAAAATTAAAAAATACATATGTGCAAAGAAATCTTAACTTGGATCATAAGAAGTGTTATGAACTCTTCCATAAACACTTATTGAGCTACAGTGTTCAAGGCATTTTGCTGGGTGCTGAGCATAAGAGGAACAGTATTAACCAAAAGAAGGATAAGACTTTAAGGGAAGAGCAAGTAGCCCAATATGATTGCTGGATGAGGCACAGAGATAGAGGCATAGGTCGTAAATCCATTTGGAGCTTGACTGCTTTGCTAAGAACTTTAGATGTTATTCTGTAGAAAATGGGAAGATTTTAAAGGTTTTTGAGGAGAGGGGTCACATATCTGTGTTTTTGAAAGATAGAAATAAAATTACAGGCATTATAACAAAACTCATGGAATGTTTCCAGGAAGAGTTATAATAAATTATGTTAATATTAAAAAATCTAGGCCTGGCTCCATGGCCCACGCCTGAGATCCTAGCACTTTGGGAGACCGAGGTAGAGGATTGCTTGAGCCAGGAGTTCAAGACCAGCCTAGGCAACATAGTAAGACCTCATCTCTAAAAAAATTGAAAAATTAGTTGAGCATGGTAGTGCAGGCCTGTAGTCCCAGCTTCTCAACGGGCTGAGGTGGAAGGATCGCCTGAGCCCAGGAGGTCGAGGCAGCTGTGAGCCATGATCATGCCCCTGCACTCCAGCCTGGCTGCCAGACTAAGAATCCAACTCACAAAGAAAAAAAAAACCAGAATGAAAATACTATTAAGCTAAAAGTAAAGTAGAGAAAGAACTACCCAGAAATCAAAGTAGAGCAGCCACGATGTATTCTTCGTTTAACAAATGTGCATTGAGTATCCACCTACCATGTGTCAAGCAGTAGCAATCTTTACATAATGATGAGCAAAAACATTCAGTATTTTTCTTTTCGAGGCGTTTATGGTAAGGAGGGAGAGAAACAATAATAAAAATAATCCTACTATGAAAAAGTTACTTTGTGATAAGTGCTACGAAGAGCTGTTATTTGGAAGCTACTACACTTATAAGGGAAATAAATGAACCTAGTCAAGGAGGTCAGATCAACTCTCTCCTAAGGAATTGATGCTTACAGTGAGACCTGAAGAATGAGTAGAAGTTAATTAGGTCAAGAACAAATATGGTAACCCTATATAAACCCTTCCAGAACAGAGAGGTGGAAATATGCTTTCTGACTCATTCTATGAGACCAGTATTACCCTGATACCAAAGTCAGATAAAGACATCGTGAGAAAGTTCATTGTGAACATATGTCTGAGATCTTTAACAAAATATTAGCCAAATTCTACAACATATAAAATGAATTCTCTATGTGACCAAGTGGGATTTGTCCCAGAAATGAAGCATTGGTTCAACATTTGAAAATAAATTAGGCCGGGTGCGGTGGCTCATGCTTATAATCCTAGCACTTTGGGAGGCCAAGGTGAGAGTACTGCCTGAGCCCATGGGTTCAAGACCAGCCTGGGAAACTTGAT